TCGTTATTACGTTTAGAGAAATCCCGCTTACTCCCACGAATTTCATTCCGGACAGATTAATCGGCGGCAAATGTTGTAACAGAAGAGAGAGAGAGAGAGAATCGTTCGCTTACTTGTCAGAGGTGTCACATATAAATCAGCATAATTCTCGCGCGACCGGTTTATTTTCGTCATTTTCCGCATTGTAGATCAGCAGTTCGCTTATGAATATATAAGTGATAAAAGTATGACTATTATGAGCCTGAATGTATATCGGTAGAAGAATGTGAGGCTTTAACCCTTGCAATTGACCCAACCGCACGTGTAAAGGATGGCGCAACTGATATACGCAAATGGTTGAAAATAGCAACAATGTGTCATTACAATTCGCATCGAATTATCCGGAGTGTGACGGAATAATGTATGTACATGTGGACGTGTGTATGTACCAGCTTTGATTCAAATTCTTGAATTTTCGATTTAAAAATCTTTTCGGTGATTATGAAAAGATTTATTCATTATATTCACCTATACTGTTTCTAATAAAACTTATTTTTAAAAAGTTCTTGTTTTCTCTCTCAAAAAAGAAAAGAATTTTCCTCATAAAAAATAAACACATCTATAAGTTTAAAATTTGATGCAAAAACGAATAATCGTGGGATAATACATTTGTGCTAGATAAGTAAATAAGAGAAATATTTTTAAATCATTCATCAACAATACTAGGTAAAAAATTAATTAAAAAATATTGTAATATTTAAAAATGATTATATATTAAAAATATATTGAATCATTCATCAACAGTAATTAAACAAAATCATAATTTTCCTGTAATAATGATAAGAGGATTATTATATCTTGTGTATTTGACATATTGATAAGAAAATAACGCAATATGGCGTAATAAAAAAAATAATTCCAGTATATGTAATGATCGTACAATAATGCAAGTTAAAAAGAGAACAACCCAGTTCTAGAAAACCTTGTTTTGTTTGCGCACGCAATTTGCGTATGGAGCGAGTATAACCTACTATTATTATCATGAGTAATAATAGCAATACAGCTGCAGCTGTTCTCTCGTCGATGTACGGAAACATGTCTGAAATGAAAATGTCGCAATGCAATTCTCGTAAATTGTATGTGGAAATCGTATTTCACATTATTCTCTATCGAGTCTACTTTTACGCAAAATTGCTTACGCGTATCAATTAAAATGTGTGTATAATGATTACACGCAAAATCATGATTTATATAAGTTCTCGAAATTTTCGAACCATATCGATCAGTATTAAACGCGTGATTGATAATTGTCGTTTTTTTTTTACGCAAAATTTTAGCCGTCTATTTTGACCAACGCGTCGACACAGAAAGGCAAGTAATTAATTACACGGGATGAAAGCCAGTGAATGAGATTGCGGAGGATGAATCAGATTTTAAATAAAACTCGCTCGCTGATACTCTTATTAATTCTTCTCTGATTGTCAGAAAAAAAAAAACATACATTCATAGAAAATTATTCCATTTTTTTCTGCAATATAAATACAAATCGGCTTTTGTTCCCTTCGCTTTGGTTAAACAAATTCCATCAACTATTATTATTTCGCAAATTGAACGAAATATTCACGCAATTAATACGTTAGCTTTGATAGATAAATATATGACGTATATACAATAATATATATATATATATTATGTATTAATTTTTAATAAGAATTTTGACGTTAGTAAAAATTATTGGGTAACATCTTAAAAACTTGCATTAAAACATTGTATCTTTTTGTAATAAAATAAGAGTCAAGAACCGAAAGCATATGGTACACACAATGCACCATGAGACGTCGGAAGATCTCCGTTAGGCTAGGGATCTCTACGTAAATGTGTGCATGTGTACGTACACATATGTGACCATCGTTGTATTCGAGCTGCACAGACCGATTTATTGATCACACGCGTCGCACGCAATACGACGAATGCGTGCCTGTTATGTCGCAACATGTACGACGTCTAAAAATTCTGTCCTATGATTTCATACACCGAGAGAATTTCCTCTTAGAATTTACCATGAAAATTATGGCAATATAATATTATAAGAATTTTATAAGAGTTTGAGAGTCCGATTAATATTTACCACAATAAAAAATATTAATATCTACATGGTAAAATTAATCAAATATATTTTATATTTTATTGGCAGATATTATTTATTGTGGAAAATGATGGTAATCGTAGGACAATATAATATTATAAAAATTTTATTAAAATCGTGAGAGTTCGATTAATATTTACCACAATAAAAAATATTAATATATACATAGTCAAATTAATCAAATATATTTTATATAGAAGCTTCGAAAATCATAGATAAAAATCATTTCATTTATCTATATAATCATATTGGCTTACTAGAGTTCAATTTTATCGAGGAGGAATTATTGGAATATTTCAAAACTAAGGCACATATTATAATTTGTACGGCATATATCTTTTCATTTTCTTGCTAATTATGGAATTATTAAAAATTTTAGTCTGCTAAAAGAGAAATAATAAAATTATACACGCGGTATTTCATATTTGATTCTTTCGAAATTTCAATTTGTACTTTTTATCAGACTGAAAAGAGCGGCAACTAACAAAGATAAAACCTAAAAATTTTAGGTTTACCATAAGGTACATAGATTTCATAGTTGTGTCTTATTGTGTGCAGAATTGTAATTTCAAGAACTGCATTTTTTCTTGTTCTGTATTCATTCTTTGTGAAAGAATATTTACGGTGTAATGGATGGTATAGAATGTCTACTGGTATAGAATCATGTTTCAATGTCAATAATGATTGTGGGATTTTTTCATTGTTATTCACCGAAAGTTAAAGAAAAATGAAATTTGCAAATTTTGTAAAGAATACTAAGTATAATCGACTTTATTGTGATTTGACACATATGTGACAGAACTGTCACATAAAATTCCGCCTATGAATATAATAAATCTGATATATTTAATAAATATTTTCTGCATTTAATATATTATTTGTATTATGTTTATGTATTTCACATTTAGTTATTATATTTAAAAAAAATGAATTCTTTATTTTGATACAAATATTTATAAGACAGAATATAATATAAATTCGATAAGTATATTCTTATTACATTTTTTTAATAATTAATTTTTAAATCGAAAAAAACATAAAGAATTTTTTGCAATTATTCTTATATTACTTCTAAAAAAAATTATAATTTGATAGCAGCATATCGCTTCTGATAATCATCGAAAGATAATAAAGTGATTAATTATCAGTGCGGAAAGACAATCATTTTGACAATTAAATATTAAAGAATTACAGATGAATATGTGAAATGAAAAATGGATTGCAAGAAATTACAACACTGTGATAAACAGACTGATTAAAAATATATAAAAATCGATTAATCGTATGAGATGGTAATACAAAATTATAAAATGAAATGAAAAAAGATACAGCTTGCTACTGCATCATCGATGTAATTGCACAATATTATTTATCATCATCGATCACCAATACATAAATAAATATTATCAAAGTCGCAATAATGTCATGTTTCAAAATTAATACGAACTATTTTTCATTACGTTTCTATCAATTATTCAAAGACATTTTCTTAGCATCTCTTCTACGAAATAATACATGAAATCTTCCCGTAGGTTATTTGATAAATATTTTTCTTAGTATATAAAACGATGTTGTAAACTTTAGTGTTTACTTTAATATCAATTATTGAAAATAATACAGATAATGCATCCATATATCAATCAGATGTATAAAAAAATTGAAAAATCTGCGTTGTATTTCTTTGCGAAAGACAAACATTTCGTAAAAGGAACGAGCTATTATTTTTCTACATACATTAAAAAAGTATCGTCCTCAACAATGTATTATTTTGGATATATGTGTGAAGAAGCAAAATGTCACATATGTTTTAGAATATTCGAGCCATACTGCGAAAAGTTCGTAAACACATGTTTCACGAAAAAGAAAAGAATGTACACATAAACTCACGACGCGTCGAATCGAGCAAAAATTTGTATTCAATAATGTTGGCAACTTCGATCAATTTCAATTGAAATATTTCAAAAGTTTTTATTTATTTCGCGAGAAAAATGTGATATAATTCCGTAACAAATAATAATAAATAATAATAATAATAAACTCGCACATTTATTGTGAAAGATTACTTGAACAATATATCGATGATACAAGTCGGCGAAATTGGAGCAAAAATTAGCAAGAAATTTTGCTAAACGAACGAAAGAATTTTTGCGTAGAATCTTTACAAGGACTCGTCTATTTCAAAGTCGTCAAACGTCATCGCGTAAGAATTATCTATACTATAAAAAAAAAAGAAAAAAACGCGCACATCGCGCAATGAGCAGGACGGCACAATTAATGGCGTGGGCCGTGGTCGATCGTGCAATTAACTTTAACGAACAGGCGGCCTTGCGATTAAACTTAATTAGTATCGCAGTAATAACTCGTTAATAATCAGAACTATGTACAAGAAATAGCTTTTATGCGCGACCGTATACACGTGTATACTCATCATTTTCTTCAAATAATCTTTTACAAACACGTGTATTATTTGTATGTGTGTTGATATCTATGTATGTTTATAAATTTGCGTAGAAAGGTCCCTAATAGCACAACATATCCGGAAGACATTCAGAGGATATCCTGAGAACATTCCTCAGGATGTTCTCTGAACGTATTTGAATATTAAATAAGAAGAGGTTTGTTCGCGTCGCATGCTCCAACTTGCTCCGTTTTGCTCCGAGCGCATTGGAGTAAGAAGAAGTATATTGGAGCATGCGACGCGCATTGGAGTAAGAAGCATGTTGGAGCATGCGACGCGAACAAACCTGAGATGTTTAATCGCACTCTCATAAAAAATTAGGTTAGAGACGAATAAAAGAAAAAAAAATTTTTCTATTCCATTTTCCTTCGATCTGCCTTAAAGCTAAGCACAATATATATGAACATAATGAATTACCTCGATCGCGTCTTCCTTAGTAATTCCAGTGAGAAACGAAAAATAAGAAGAAAGATTGAGGGATTCTCCTCCGGCTTTAGAGTTCGAACGTCGATGCTGCGTGAGGATGAAGCCCGGGCGAGGAAATTCCGGCAAACCGCGTCGTAATACAATCAAGAACTGACACTGACCGATGAATGATTATTGACCGAACGGAAGAGCGTAAGGAAGCTACCGGCGAAGCACTACTCTTCCTCTCATCTCCACGTTCATCAGGCGCGCCGCCGCTTCCCCGACACTTCGAAGCTCCCTTTTCCCTCTTCGTTCTTCTTCCCTCTTTTTCCCGCGCGCGCGATGACATACGCGTCGCGTGTCGCGTCAGAAGCGCGACGGACAAATCGCGAGCGACCGCGCGGCGGCGTGAAGTTGTCGACGATCGCTTTCGAGAAAACGCGCGCGTTTTCCAAACTCGCGTCAAGAGAGGGAGCGCGCGATTTCTTCTTATATCAACCGGAGGCGAGTATACGTAAATAAAAAAACGCGCACTATATATATATATATATCTGTATATATTATATATATATATATATATTTATTTTCTATATATATATATATATATATGTATATATTGTCTCTCTCCTCCGGCTGATGTGGAACACTGCGGACGAGGCACGGTACGATACTGTCAGCGCAAGGACGGTCAGGCGAATGGGATCCTTAGCGTTTTCGGCGGCGGCAGCGGGCGCCCTCTCTGTTTATAGCGCACTCTGTCCCTCTTTCTCCAGTTTCTAGCGGCGGATGTGTTTTCTCGTATGGCGTACTGTCTACTCGCCGACCGCGGCGTACACGCACACCACTCTACCAGTCGGTACTAGTACAGTGGCTCTTTATACCGTTCTCCTACCATCGGCTCTCTGTCTGTGTCATGACTGCAGGGTTCGCCCCACCAAATCCACGCTTCGCGGTGCGCGCGTGGTTACCATTGCTCTGCTGAATCTGGAGAAAGGGGGAGAGGGTACGAAGAGGGAGAAGCTGAGGGAGAGGGAGAGAAAAAGGGGAGAGGGAGGAAAAGAGGGAGAGAGATGGAGAATGTCAATAAAGACGGAAGGAAGAGAGAGAGAGAGAATTTTGCCACCTTACGTGGAGAATGAAGACGGACATATACTTTAAATTTAAATACATCTTCCGGTGAATACTTACGAGATTATGATTTTCGGAACAAGCGTTTCGGAAATCTTGAATATTAACGTTATCTTTGAGACGAAGCGAAAATATACGGTTTCTAAAAACGGATTTAGTGTCACACAGTTTCGAAATAGAAAGTAATCGATAGTGATAAAACGAGAATATATATTTTCTTACAATTAGCGATCGCTTTCTTATAAGACGGATTTAAATTTTGCAGCCGCATAAATGTATCTACTCGCTCGTGTAATATCTTATTTATTCTTCCACGAAGATATATATGGTTTGTCTCTTGCGATCGCTAATAAACGAACAATGTTATAAAAATAAAGATATTAAGAAATGACATTAATAAGTATTTAAAAGACGGTATTGCGCTGATGATTTCACTTCGGGCATTGTTCCTTAATTATTTCTAAATTCATTTCTAATGCATATTATTGAAACAATTTTAAGATCAAATGATTAATTATTAATAGTTGAAAAATATTATTCTTTGTTCTTATTTATTCGTTAAAACATAAGCTGTATGTTGCTAATTTTATTTTGTATCATTTTTTCTTGTTTTTCAAAATATAAATAAAACGTGGAAAAGAAAAGAGTATCACCGAGATTCAAGCAGATTATATTAATCAGTTAATTAAAAGAAAGGAATTTGAAAATGATAATTTTAAAAATATTTATGAATTAGTATCAAGTCAAATAAACTTAATTGAAAAATATAGTAATTAAAAATTTTCCTGGTAGAAATAATAATCATTATGACATTTTGACGTCAAAATTATTTTCGCTACTTGGAAAGAATACATTTATTCTGAATATGTATTTTAATAAAATTTTCAAAACTTTTTACTATTTTCGTACATATATGCCATTCGAATATGATTAGGCATTGAAGGAAAAGTTTAAAGAAAAAATAAATTGGTCAATGAATCAACAATACGAAATCATAATTAAATTTAAAATCTTATAAAAAAAAAGATAGATATTTCTAGAAAATTATAATTCTCTTTTTTAAATAATTTTATAATAGATTTCATTCCTGCATAGCTTTCTATTTTATGAACTGCTCAAATATGGAAATGAAACCATAAACATGCTGTGTCAATAATTTTTGCAAAAGGTTTTGGGTCAGATCTATGTTGTATCTCTTTTATTTGCTATTTTTTTTGTACACAAGAATACAGTCCAATATTTTCATTGTTTCCTTTTCAACTATTAAGGGTTACCTACCTGTACATAAATCGGTAATATCTCCTTCTTCAAGAGAAAGCAAATTCTTGCAAATTGTCCAATGGTGTAACGTTTTTCTTTTGTGGAATTTGTTTGCAGAGCGTCTTTTCTCACGATTTTACCTAATCCACAGGACAGCGTCAAGACAACAAGAAGAAAACCATCGATGATACGTACGTATCTAAAAAGAAAAAAAATGTAAAATTATTTTCTAATAGTTTGACAGATAAAATATTTTTTAATAAGATTAATAAAAAAAAATATTTTCGAAAAATTTTCATCTGAAAATATTTTGCGCAATGTACATTCCGGATGCAGCCGCCAGCCTGCAGCACCGGGCTAAGTTGCAATTCTCACTTGCTACCCTTAAACGTCATGCGATCGATAAGCCGCGGCGCGAAGACACACCCGGGGGTGCAAATCTGCGACAACATGCTTACCAGAAGGTGGTGACTCGAAACTCCAGGGGGTGTTCCTTCTCGGAATGTCGGCGTTGTTGAAAGTCGGTAAGACCGTGCGGTAGAAAAAGGTCGAATAACGAAGGTGGTGCGTTTACGCGGAAAAATACCGTACTTATTTCATTTTCGCCGCAAATACTTCTTCCATTTCAATTGCTTCCCCCTCCGATAGATGTCGGTGTTTGCGCAACGTTGCAACAATAGGGTTGCGAAATCAAAGCCGCATCACAGCGGGGGATGATTGTTTTGCTCCGAATTCTCTGCTCCTGTTTCTTCATCTGTGCGTACACGTGATATAAAATTAATATCTCGATAGGAAAATTACTCAACTGCTCATGCAAATGCAGCCAGAATTATATATTTATTTTTTATTTTTATTTTATCTCTTATTCATTTTAATTGTATGCTTATAATTTATATAATATTTGTTTAATAAATCTGCGATATGCTAAATTTAGCTGAAATTGTAAATCTTCTAATATCTCAGAGTAGTTTAGAATTATTATGTTGCAACGACGATTTTATATAAATAATATTACGTTTTGATACCGCAAAATAAACGCACATCAATTTTTTTATTTTATTATTTTTGAAAATTAGTGAGATTTGTGAAGATTTTTTGTTAATTGTTTTAGAGATTTAATGAAAATGTTCGTTGAATGTTCACATAAATAACTTTCTGATAAACAGCATAACTAATGCAATCGCGTTGATAATATCATTTTAAAAGTATCAATAAACATTCTGATACGTATTCAATGATAAATAAAAGCGACTAGCTTTAAAAGCAATTAAATTCGAGAATTATATCTTATTGCTTTAGGAAAAAACATGACATACATTTAAAATCGAATAACTATAAAATATCCTCAAATAAATATGTTCCTCAATTGTATTATTTTTATGTAAACTTTGAAGTTATGCATTTATTTATTTTAATATTTTTTCCTCTTCCAAAAATACAATAAGTATGATATAGAAATATTAAATTTATATTGTATGCGTGATCTATTTTTGTTATTTGCTTTTTGAGATATTCAGCATGCTGTAAAATTTATAAAGCTTCATGAGAAAGAGAGAGAGAGAGAGAGACGAGATAATACCGTGAGTTTTAGAATAAAAGGAGCAAAGAAATCTTGACTTGACAGGTAACATGATAATTTCAAATATAGAACCACGTTTCCAATATCCTATTTCTAAACAAAACTACGAACAATGTGATATCTAATGATTGTATAATTAAAGATCAATTAATTTTATTTTCAAGTATATTTATTTTTACAGAGTCGTTAACTATTTTATAAAAGAGCCACTTAAACGTTTTAAATGTTCAATTAAGATATTATTAAATTCGATTTAGATTTCTTCGCTCAAATGCAATTAAAATCAAGAATCAACGCATTAATAAAAAAATCATCCTGTCGTTCATAATAACATTAGTTGTCACTATGATAAATCGAATTTCATATTTGAATAATCAAACATCGGAATATCGACAGGTATGCACGACAATACATGGATATTTTAAGAATGAAAAACTTTAACTGTCTATACCGCGTCAATTGTAATAACGAACAGAAAGCATTATTATTCCAGAGATCTCTTTAAATATCATACAAATTATGAATGAAATATTTTTCTCGAAAATTATATATATTTTCCAAAGACGCGAGTGTGTTTTGCCATTTCAGCAAAGCACCAGAGCAACATATAAAATTTCATGCGACACGTCGTATAATTAAACAACTCATCATTGTGCGATATAGGGAAAAGATTGAATATACGCATCCCTAATAGCACAACATATCCGAAAGATGTTCGAGGATATTCACAGGATATCCAGAGAACATTCTCAGGATGTTGTCTGAATCAAAATTGTCGGACAAAAGCCTGGCAAGTTTGACAGGAAAAGTTTGACAGCGGATCACCTGTGCGAGCCCCCGAACTGTCATATCTTTCGGAATTTCAGCCACGTGTCCCGCGTCTGCCACCGATTGTCCGGAGTCGCTGCGCGATACGCCTCGGCTGCGCCAGCGCAAGCGATCGATATCCCAGACTGCCGGGGTTTTCATCTGTCGCTGCGTGACGTCATTTTGCGCGTACCGAGGCAAGACGACGGGGGCCGTAACCTGCCGAGGGTGGCCGAGGAAGTTCGCGGTGTGAGTCGGGGTGGTGTGAGCGGAGCGAGGAGCCGTCAACGGCGAGAACGGCTCGAGTATCACCGTCGAGTTTTAACGTAGTGCGTGCGTCCGCGCCACGTCGCCCGAAAACGTTCGTCCCGCGAAAATCCTCCGGCGCGCGAGTTCCGATCGAGCCCGCGAAAAAAAAAGTGCGCGCGAAAGTGACAGCTCCGCTCCCTGTGGTGCGTGCTTACGGTCCCTGGAGAACGTGCTGGAGAGACACGACTCGTCGAGAGACACCCCAGTAAGTCTCACTCAGTCGGGGAAAACCTTCGCGAAAAAAAAGTCTACGAGGGCACTCTCGGTGCTTCGTCTGAATTTTCGAGCGCAAGGTCGCGACGACCTTCGAACCGAGGGATGAGGATTTTGCTCCGGAATCGTTCCGGAGGAGCTGGACACGAGGTTGTCCGTGCGTGAAGGTGTCGCGATGACACACCGAGCTGTGATCGTTTGCCGGTTTTTCACTTGATTTCCACTGACGGTTTTCTCATGCCGGTGCAATGGAGAGACCGGCGCCGCTCTCGTCTGATCACAGCCGAGCTGCAACCCCTTCGGGTCGCGGCGCAGCTGAGCTCGACCGGGCGCGACCCACAGCCCTACATTCACGGTCTGCGGCGTGACCTAACTTCAACTCACCCCACCTTAGACGAGGCCCTCGTCGCCACCCTCTCTCTGTTTCGAGGACTGTCACAGAATCTTACGCGTTCTCTTTCTCTCTCTCTTTCTTGACCATTTGCATTTTTCATCCCTTATTCATCTCTGCACTGAAACAAATTTATTGAACCCGAATTTATTTGAATACTGCTCAACGAATATCAATCTCAAAATTTGGTACAAGTCCTGATATAAATATTGTTCAAATAGGAATATAAGACGAAATTTTATCTACTCCTTATAAACCCATTAAATCGAATTATTAAATAAACACTTGCTGTTACCAATGTTGAATACGGTCTAATAAATCAATTGTAAAATTTGCTACAAGTCCTGATATAAATATTGTTCAAATAGGAATATAAGACGAAATTTTATCTACTCCTTATAAACCCATTAAATCGAATTATTAAATAAACACTTGCTGTTACCAATGTTGAATACGGTCTAATAAATCAATTGTAAAATTTGCTACAAGTCCTGATATAAATATTGTTAAAATAGAAATATAAAACGAAATTTTATTTACTTCTTATAAACTCATTAAATCAAATTATTAAATAAACTACTGTTATCAGTGTTGAGTATGACCTAATACATCAATTTCAAAATATGCTACAAATCCTGATATGAATATCGTTAAAATATTGTAGAAATATAAGATGAAATTTTATCCACTTCTCTACTCATTAAATTGAATTAATAAATAAACTCTTGCCAATGTTGAAGAATAAACTAAACAGATGTGGGAGCTGAAGAATTTATTTGAAATTAATAATATTGATTTAATGCGAAAAATATTCATTCGATATAAGAAAATCCTTATCAGAATAAACAGATAAATATTTATTTGTTTCAAATAAATGATTTATTAAGCAGTATTGAAATAAATATTTATTAATTTAATAATTTTTTTTCAGTCTGTTATAATTTCATATAATTAATTTATAATTATTTGTATTATCGAAAAAACGATAGCAAAATACGTAAACATATAAAATATTTTCAATTAACAGCTCGTGTGTCTTTGAAATTTTTTCACGCTTTCGATAGATGAGTTTTCTCAGAAATTTAATTTAATTTAGAAACACAGTTTTGATTTATCTGTAATTTTCATTTTCTTCAGATTACTTTTTTAAATTCTCATAAATAAGAAATATGTTGAATTGAGCTATTAGAGCGCGACGTAAGCTTAATTAATTATTTAACCTGACCTTGGCGAGAGATCAATCATTTATGTAACAACAGTCTAGGGACAACGCCTTCCGATGATAGTGCCATTAATTAACGAACAAACGATTTGACGGCCGCAGCTCGACCTCGTTATCATTGTAATAACGATCGTTACGATATGATAATACTGCACCGCTGAATACGAAGACTTTATGAGAACGTCTACTTTAATATTCACTCGAGACACTGCGGCTGCACTGAAAGATGCACTTCCGCGCGAGAGAGAGAGAGAGAGAGAGAGAGACAGATGCACTTTCGTATTAACAGCTCACCAAAGTGCCGTTTCCTTAATCAGTAGCTGCAATTTTTCTCTATCTGTAAAGAATCTCGTAAAATGCTACATATATAGTTGAACATTTTTTGTTAAAATTTAACAGATATCACATCTGAAACGGTCCACAGAAATTTTTCTGTTAATTTAACATAATATGGATATGTTAAATAAAGACACAAATATTGTGTTAATATTTTAACATAAAATAAATGCAAAATTTCAAATAAGTTAAACTAAATTTTGTGTAAAATTAAAATAATTTTAATGTAAAAATTAACAAAAAAATGTTAATTTTAGATTTTATTTCCACTTATATTATAAAATAGAAAATCAACATTTTTTCCTGTAAATTTTAACAAAAAAATCTTGTCACTAATAAAACAGAACATATTTATTGTGTAAAATTAAAAATAGATGCACATTGTGTTATTATTACATTTTTTTCAGTTGTTTTAACATTTAAGTTTAATTAACAGAATAGTAATATGTTAAATTAACACATGAATGTGTCAAATATTTAACACAAAAATTTTAACGGGGGTTTTTAACAAGACAAAACAAATTTTTCTACTGTGTAGCATTTTATGTCGCTCGAATGTGACAATTTTTACTTTACTTGAAGAAATGTATTAAGCTTTTATAATTAAATTATATCGATACGTATACATTTATTTTGCAAAGAAATATATCCGTTTTTTTTTCGAGATTCTTACAGTATCGAAGGTCGATCGCGCGAGGTAAACAGAGTTTGGCGAGTAAACAAATCCAACAAAGAGAAGACAGTCTTCTAAAAAGCAAGCTTCAAAGTACACGAGGTAAATAGTGCGCGATACGACGAAGAAAGCAGACATAACGTGTTAAATTTTTTTGATTCGACAAAATTGAGTTATTTTCCGCGTAAACAAGAAAATTGAGTTTACGATAAGCAAACAGGACGGAAGGGTGTCATAACATTGCGCAGCGCTTTTTTTTAAATACGTGTAAACAACATCGGAAATCGGACAGATCATTGCGAATTTAACACACATTACTGCTCGAGATTAGCAAAAAAGTCGACACACGTGCCGCTAATCGTGAACAATCGAGGAAACGCTCCATCATCTGTGTCGAAATATTATGTAAATTGCAGTTCTATTTACATAATTGATTAACTTGTAGCTAAATTAATGAAATAATGCCAATTTTCTGCTTGTTTATACACGACAATGGTGAAATAAAATTAAATAATTTTTATTAATTAAAGGGACAAATAATAAATAATTTTCATCTATTGACGAAATTAGAAGTGGTATATTATTAAAATATACAGAACAATAACAAATATATACTAATAAATATATGTGGAGTGATAAATACGAAATGAAATTATTAATATATGACGCGAGCGAAAGAGGAATAAAAGATCAACTATATTTATGCTATCGCAATCTAAATTTATTTAACGTATCTATTTCATTCTATAATAATTTTTAAATGTGTGATAAATGCGTTATTCGATCAACGCGCGGTTTGTCAGTTAAAATGCATTTTAGAAGAGTTTAGAAATTAAATTTTAATCAAAATAAAAATCCATATTTTTGTATAACTTTCAAAAAATTTTATCTAAATATTCTTTATCCAACATAATATTAAACATATTTTATCTTATCGTTATATAATTTTATAAATAATGATGAATTGATACGTGCAGTTGACGAGGAAATCGTGGTCAATCGTGTCAATATACACTTGGCGTTGTTATCAGCAATATATAGATACACAAAGAAAAACATAAAAATAAATAAAATAAAATAATGAAAATATTATATTTGTTATATATTTTTATATTTAAAATTCGTAAAGTATCGCGTCAATATACCATAAATTTTTATTATCAGTGTTTCTTGTTATTTAAATAAAATTATATAGATGATCATCTAAATGAAACTTTGGCGTTATTTTATCTTTATATAAATAATAAAAATATGTATCACACACATCTATATCTGCATGTTAGATGAAAAAAGTATTATCTTTAAAATACTTAAATAGTAGAACTTAAGCAGGAAGAGAAATAAAGATATGAATACTTACATATATTTTTATATTACACGTGCAGGCAAAGTGGCACTTTGTGTGCGCGTTTTCTGTGCGGAAAGCGGCCGATTTCCCACGCCGTCATTTTGCGGCGACGCGGTGAGTGAATAAGCCGCGTTCAAAGCCATTGCCTACTGCTGAGCTGCGTTCAAAGTCATTACCCACGGCTTCAGCCGTGGGCAAAGCATTGTCCATCCCCCGCACTCGTGACCAATTGTCAACTTTCCGCACTTGATACACAATATACTATTATATCCTAATCGTCATAATTTTATCTTTTATCTACATATATTTAAAATAAAATTATCTTCATCTTATCTAAGATAAATTTACATATTTTTATCTTATCTTTATCCAGCTAATTTAATAATCATCTAAGCACAACACTATTCATCATTAACATTTCTATAGTATCCACCTGAAAGGAAATTAATGAAAATATATGATAGGAAAAGAGGTATCGCACATTTTTCAACTTTAATCGAATCTCCGTTTTCCCTGTCAGTTTGCAGATAGTCGTGTCAACTCCGCCGCACGTCTCGCTTCCCAAACAAAGTTAGTGCGCCATCCTCGCCGTCGACGACAAGACAGGACCAGACAAGACGTAGAGAAGAGAATCACCAGCGGCATTCCTCGTCGCACCTGCGACAGTTACGGTGCGGATCTCCCGAGAAGACGAGCCTCGCGGGTGGAGGAACTCGAGGGAGGAACTCGAGGCCAGGGAGGATCGGGTCGTGAGAGTTCCGAGCGGGATAGCCTTTGATTGTGATGTGGTGGAGCCCCCCGGGGGCCACGCGGGCAGGAGGTCAGCGGAAGATCGGTCGTGAGGGCGACAAGCACGGCTCGGCTGCCCCGTGGCGAGATCGCCGGCAGGGCGGCGGAGCACGAGGTAGAATGGTCTGACCTCCGGCGTCATCCCGCCCGACGCGGAGGTGGTGCTGGAGGCGGCGGAGGCGGCGACGGCGGTGGAGTCGAGCAGCTGCTGCCCGACTCGGAAGAAGAGGAGTCGACGGCGATGTCGAGGCAGCTTCGGGGTGAACGGGACCACGTGAGCCGCGACTACCAGGAGCGCGACTACCTCGGTGACTTCCGGGACTTGCGCGACCTCAGGGATTACAGGGACTTCCGGGACCATCGGGAGCCCCTCGACATCAGGGACGAGCGAGATCGGGAGGGACCCAGGAGTTACCGGGACGACTATCCGGAGGAGTACGATCATCGTCCGACCGCTGCATCTACCTCGGCGAATCTCGTCAACAACCCGGTAAGTCGCAGCTTTTTTCTCCTGAGAAACACGAGATGATTCTTTTTAATATCTAGTATCAAGCACCAAAAGTTTCATTTTGTTGTTGTAAAAAAAATAATAATTTTAAAAATTATATAAACGACAGGGATTTTAAATTTTATCTCCAATTTTAATTTATTAAAATTTTATTTTAGTAAAAATTAATTTTTTTCATTATTATTTTTTTAATACTCTTGGATAGGTATATATTGAACAAGAATTTGCAATCGCTATTGAGTCAAACTTATCTGATTGACGCTTCATTTAATTTAGAGCTGCAAAAAGACCAGTCAGATTCAGTCAGCTGTCAGTTAGGCAACAGTCTTGATCAATAACGATGGAATATTTTTATCAAGTATCCAATATGCATATCGTTTACGTAATTTTTTTAATGAAAAATATTATTAATTTCTTTTTAAATTTAACAATATTTTTTTGATAAAATAACATCGGAACATAATTAATATTCTTAATTTTTCTTAATATTACTGTTTAATTACTTAATTAAAATGTTAATTTTTCTTCTAAAATTATCTAAATATTCATTTTTTAATTTCTCAAATTTCTTTTTCATATTTTAAATTTTATCTCTAATTTTAATTTATTAAAATTTTATTTTAATGAAAATTTAAATTTTATATTTTTTATGAATTAAATATTCATATTTTTTCTATCCATTTTTATTATTATTATTTTTAGAACTTGCTGTTAAATTAGATACTAAAAAGAATAATCTCTGCACGCGAAATACGATATATAATAAGTTTATGGTAATTATAACTCTGAAACACACATCTTCTTTGCCTTGCCGGCCAAATAGAGCGTATTGCACAGTGTGATAACGTCCATCTCTCGAAGGCTCTTTCTCGATGGCATTGTTTCTTGCAACTGCACCGTTGTGCAAGGGAAACACGGTCGTTTCTATTAAAAACTTGCTCCCATGAGACCGCTTAAAACTTGAACAACTATTTGTATAGCGTTAGCCTCCCCTTTGCTATGAACGAGAACATAGTTGGAATACAAACTTGGACTATCAACAGGAGTTTCAAATCTCATCGAAATTTATATCGTAGGCAGTTTCCGCTCTTGCATATTGGTTTTCCTGCGCTAATAATGTACTTGTATATTACGCTCTCTTCTTAACAAGATCTTTATGCAGGAATTCAACGAGCATAAATTAACATTATGCAGATTTTTTTTTTAAATTTCTACGCCGAAAAAAATTTATTAAGTTTGAATAAATCATTATTGCCTCATAAATTATTTATTTGAAACTAATAATATTGATTTGATGTGAAAAATATTTATTTCATATAAGAAAAACGTAAATATTTTATTGAAATAAATATTTATTAATTTTTTTTTTTAGCGTATCCAAAACTAATTATTTACTCATATTTCTTCTCGCAATACATATTGATTTTTCTGCGCTGATAATCTACTTATTACACTCTCTCCTTAACCAGATCCTTATGCAGGAATTCAACGCGCATAAATTAACATAAGCAGAATTTTTTAAAATTTCTACAGTGAAAAAAATTTCATTAAATTCGAATGAATCATTATTGTCTAATAAATCATTTATTTGAAACTAATAATATTGATTTGATGTGAAAAATATTTATTTGATACAAGAAAAACGTAAATATTGTATTTATTTGTTTCAAATAAATGATTTATTAGGCAGCAATGAATTATTAATTTAATAAATTTTTCTCAGCGTCTTCGAAACATAATTATTTACGCATATTTCTTCTCGCGATACATTTTGCATACAAGAAAGTGTGCCACATTTGCATTTGATGCGCCAGCTGATTTTACGGCGTGGCAGCTTCAGCGCCATTGATTGAAAAAAAATGTCGTTCAAGCGGCGAAACATAAAATCTCTCCGTTTGCAAATACGTACCGTTAGAATGAGATCTCTCGGTGTTTCCTATTGGCGACGGATCGCCGCAGTAGTCGTTTTATAACATTGCGTGCACATCGTATTGCACAATATTGCGCTTCGCCCGGCTTAGAGGCCATCGGTACTTATGGCTCTCTATATCTTGTTACATGGAGGTTTCACTTCTCTCATTGTCAGTTCCGTATATGAGCGTCCGCGCTTTTTCTTATCGAACAATAAAGTCGAATTAACTTAACTGTTGATTAATGCCGTTCGTTACGATCTGCAATAACTATTTACTGGCTAGGCGATATCGCTTTCATGTGCGCGCGCGTATACATTAATTCTGGAATTCCAAATAATCGTTCCATGACTCGCTTCGTCGCAAAGAAACACGTGCTCATTGATATTACTATCGCATGCTTTTATATGGCCGCGTATTCCGATCGTGATTGCTTTACGCGCGTAAGCTAATTTTATTTTTTTTTTTGTCAACTTTGGTTTATATTTGATAAATAAATAATAAATAATTTTTGGACATTTTTGTTGCAATATTATTAAATTAATTATTACATTTAATTCATTATTAAATTTTTTCGTCACTCATTTCTGTGCAACTTTTCTATGTTTTATTCTAGTCACTATTCGGATTTCCAGTATTAACAATGATAAATTCGTGGCTTCTTCTTGTTATCTTCTTCAGTCACAGTCAAATTACATGTTAAGCTTTCGTGACTTTTTCTTTATTATTTTCACTATTCGAATTTTCTGTGCTAACAGTGATAAATTCGGTGTTCTTCTCCTTCTCATCTTAAGGGGTTAACTCATCCTCGCAGGATCTAAAATAAGCACAAATTCAAGTTTATGCATAGAATTAATTTTTATGTTAGGAATTTATTATACAATATTTATTCATCGAATTAAATAAAAAAATACAACTTGTGAAACAATTTCCGCGAAGCTCCTTTGCTGCAGCAAGATCGGATAATAGATTTCGGAAGACAGGGATAGTCTGAAATAAAAAAGTAAAATATTTTCTTGTAAATAGATAGAATTGTTTAAGTCTAATGTAGGATTTTTTTATTAAGAGTTGTGGAACGGCGTAATTTAAAATTCTTTTTGCTTTAAAAGTTAAAAAATTTAGTTTGAATAAATTAACATATCGAAAAAGAAATTAATTAAACTGTTAATTTCAGAGAAAACTTGTCTTTAATCTGTTCTATTAGCATGATAAAGCTCTGCTTCTAAAAAGAACTTTAACTTTTTATTTACCAAACTCTGCTAACGAGTCTCTTTTGTCGCTTGTTGCGTTTGAGATTCTGAGCCGCATCAACCTCTTGGCAAATTAAGATTTATAAATTTATTTCAGAAGTTTTATCGCGCGCGCGCGCTTCTATAAAAGGGCTTCACACTAGTGAATTACTAATTTATTTAAGTCCACGAATACTTGTTTCTATAAAACTTACATCACCATCACATGTATATTTAATGAGTTAATCAATCTATCTACTTCCGCGATTCTTATTTGAGGATTTTTCTGCATATATATTATTTTTGTTTCTAAAATTGAAACAAAAATTTGATAGGAAATATATTAATTTCATTCTCATTTTTTTAATTTGAAATTTTATTTGGTGTTTCATAAATGTTATTTCTTTACAAAAAGGGTAACTATCGAATGTCTAAAATATTGTATATAGCGTGAGAACGATTCGCTTGATCGTTAATTTATTTTTCGGGCTTGATAATTTGTTCGACCCTCAACATACGTATACGTCTTAATACATTTGATTTCGGGAAATATAATATTTATTATATCTTTATGACAATCCATCTTTCCATGAGTCTGGACATAATTCATATAAAATTTATATAAAAAAGGAAATTGTCATTAGAGCTCTAACAATAAATAAAAAATGAACAGCTACAAAGAACATTGAATTAATTATAAGCAAATAGATGTACAAGGTAATTCAAAACAACTTGATGTCCTGGAAATATCATATTCCTGAACGAATTCTGAGACGATTTTTCCTCAACGAAAATGTCGAGAGAGGCCATCATTTTTGCATGTTCCCAATTTTTGCCATCATGTATCTTCGTAATTAAGTTTGCGAAAAACCCCTTATTTCCAAACGTTTATAACTCGAAAATGATTGATGTCTCGACTTTTTTGTTGAGGAAAATCGTTTCAAAATTTATTCAGGAATATGATAATTCCAGGACATATCAGACTGTTTGGAATCATCCTGTATATTAATTCGGGTCTAGCTTAATTGCATAAGCCTTGAATAGATTTATAGGATACTTGGAAGCAATTTTTTTCCAACTGCTACTTGTCCACTCGCCAATTGATGGGTCTTACTTAAGTCGTAAACAATTTTATTTGTGCGAAGCTAGCTCGCGAAGTTTTCCCTTAAACTCGAAAGGAGGTCAAATGTATTACAGGATGAAACGGTACAGCTTCGACACGAGGGTCCTTTGAGAACGAAGGATCGACCTGTTTGATCACACAGTGCGCTCCCTTTAGACTCTCTTTGGCGTCCGGTAATCGGTATCGGGGTTCTTCATTTATTCTTATATATCCTACGTAGAATGGAACGTGTGTTCTCGATACCGTGTCTTCTCATTTGTAGCCGCATTCACCGGCTTGTTTCTTCTCCCTCGCGTCGTTCGCTCCTCGAGAGAGAGAGAGAGAGAGAGTCAGACTCGCTAATGAGAGGGAGAAGCTGAAGCGAGATGACGGAGATGACAAGGTGGAAAATGGAATCTGCCCTCTTGGATGACGCTTTTTTAGCGAGCGAATATGACTCACGACACGCGAAACTGGGTCAGCTCTCCACGCGATTCCGATATATTAGCTTGTTCGAATATAATGCGAATTAATTGCCACCAAAGTGCAAATATTACCTACAGTGTTTGCTGTTCTCGAAATAAAATTATGTAATCATCTAGGTTAAATTTTGGCGTCATCTTATTTTTATAGATAATAAAAATATCTATTATTTATATATCTGCATTTTAGATGAAAGAAACGTGTTTTTCTCACTAAATTATCTAAAATAATATTCAGATAATTTGATTTAGAGCACATAATAAATATTTAATTAGTACAACGTGAGCAGGAAACTATAAATAATTAATAAAGGTATGAATATATTTTTAAATCCTCTTGTAATTTACATTTTTTTATAACTGTGTTTACATAAGCGGTCTGAAAAATAATATAAAAGTATTATTATTTAGATGTAATCTGGAAGGAATCTCAATTGCCATATAATTTTATTTTTTGTCTAGGTATCTTTAAAATAAAATCATCTTTATCCTATCTAACAATAAGATGAATTTACATATTTTTATTTCATCTTTATCTAGCTAATTTCAAAAGCATCTAAGCATAAGAATGATTACTTCGTACCTTGTATGACAAAAAATTATAGATATCTTACAACATAATTACAAAAAATTCCCAGTTATTAATGACAGTCACTAGTATTAAAATATGAGTTTTGGAAATAATCGACCAAACTAGCAGGTAAAATTGTTTGTTTAATTTCACGACGTTTCGATTATATGGTTGTGGTCCTTTTCAAGTGCAAAAGTAAAATTAGTAATAATTAACTCATCATACAGCAACAATCAATATCAATTTATAGTGAAAATATTAAATAAACGATTTTACCTGCTAGTTTGGTCGATTATTTCCAAAACTCATAATTACAAAATTTATTTTTTTTGCAATTAAAAGATAGGCACTGCTGTTCATCGCGAGTGACAAAATTTTTTTTGCCTGAGCGATGAAAGATTAACTGACTTCTTCGAGTAGTGTCATTGAATCTAATGTTCGCAATCTCGTTGATATATCTTCATATAATCGCACTATTGCACGGTCGTTCGACTAGGCGAGCAATCATTTTGCTATCGCTCGATTTGTTCTAGTCAAGTCGAGAATGTAGAACGATTTAATTTCTCTCAGCCTCTTCAAGATTGATATATTTTTCTTCGCACATCTTAAATCTATGCGCTTTCATCTAGAAATTGAAATTAATAATCCCTACTAATGAATCATTAAAAGTGCTGAATTAAGAGTAGCGAATTTGATTATTTTTTTAATATATTATAAATTATATAATATTTTTCAAAGATTTAATAATAATTTGGCTCGTGTAAATTAAAAAATGAATAAGAAAAAATAGAAAATTTAAGATGTTAAAATAAAAATATTAAAAAAATTAACATCTAAAATTTCTCTGCTCGTTTAATTGCATGGCCTATTTTTTCTTATTAATTTTTGAATTTAGTTCTTTAGAAAATTATTAAGAAAAAATAGGCCATGCAATTAAACGAGCAATAAAATTTTAAATGTTAATTTTTTTAATATTTTTATTTTAACATCTAAAATTTTCTATTCTTTCTTATTCATTTTTTAATGACCTATTTCATTATTTAATGGCCTATTTTTTCTTATTAATTTTCTAAAGAACTAAATTCAAAAATTAATAAGAAAAAATAGGAAATTTGATAAAAGTATTGAAATAAAAATAAAAATGATTTAACATCTAAAATTTACTTGCTCGTAGCCTATTTTTCTTCTTAATTTTTTAAAGAACTATGAAGCGCGATGCTGCATTTCGGAAGCTCCAGAGACAATATTGTACGGAATTGATCAAAATATTCTCATATCTCGTTCAAAAAATTCCATCTGCGCTCGGGGATGATCAGAGTCCACTCGATCATCTTATTGAGACGTTACGCCGCGTGTCAACTTGTCGACTTGTCGAATTGCAGTTACGCCTTCCGCTGACCATATTCGCGAGAGAGTCGCGCGCCTCCTTTAATCGATATCGTTAGGTAACGACACGGGCGTGTTCGCATCCATCAAACCGCGCGCATTTATCATTAAAACCCTTCACTTACACTGATTCGAGAATCCCGCGCCATGCTTCGTAATCGTACGTCTGTAATTATGCAAATGCCGGCCGCGCGTATACGCTATATATATATATATATATATATATATATAGCCTCTGGTACACGTGATAATAGTCCGGGAACTTAAATGAGCCCGACAACGGACGTCATCGATCGTCATCAGTTGTCTTTGCGAATTAATCGCTTGGATTAATTACGCGTGACCGGCAATTAATGCGGGAGTTTCGATAAACACCGAAAGTGAAAATATGTAGTATAACAACGCCAGAAAATCATATTCGCAGAATATGCAATTGCACATATGTCTGCGCGCGCATTGTTCGCGTACCTATATTGTCAAAGTTCCCGATTGACATGTTTGTGTGTGTATGTGTGTATTTATACGTCATATATACTGCACTGCAGCGAGCGGAAATCGAATCTATGACCCTTCTACCGATGATACCGTCGTGCTCCAGAAACTTTATGAAGTTAGATACTTCATCTCGTGTTAGACATTTCTGACTTTATTGTGTAGATACAGATGACGAGCAGAGATGTTTTTCAATATCAAATTTTTGTATGAAGGAAAAAGGTTATTAAGATGATGTATTTATTTCATACAGACGTGTACAGATTAATTATTAGGCTTAAATATTTTTATATTGAGATTATTTTACAGTTATATTTTTTTAATAAAGAGTTTTCTTTTTTTATACATATTTAAAATTAAAAATTTTTTATAATTTTTTGAGCTGCAGATTATTCAGAAACGTCCTTTTTTGTGATGAAAACTCGCATTGAATCGGCAAGGGATGTTATATTATCGCTGAATAATGTACACTATATATGTAGGACAATATATGTTTAATTAAACTGCAATTGTTGTTTGACAACGGCGAATGTTTTTGAATAATCGTCAAAATTTTCCTCAAATAAATTATTAAGATAGTAAAAATGTTTGAGTCTATTAATCTGCATATGTCTATATATATGTTATATATATATGTATATTTGCAGTTTATGATGATAGTATATTTGCCACACTATATGCAAAAATTAAAATAATTTCAGAACGATTTCGGAGATAATATAACTATAATAAAATTTATCGCAGACTGTGTCAAAATTTATTGACGATAAATATCTGTTGCAACGTACAAGGGATATTTTTGAATGCAAATTTATAACTACAACTTGTTGCGACGATTATAATTAAATATGCATTTATCTGCATAAATTGGAAATATTGGACATCTATTTTTTTTAGCAAGTTGTACAATTCAGACGTACGATTCGAAATAGAGGAGGGATATAACGAGGAGGTCCGCAGTGAAAAATTTTCGATTGACGTATAGGGTTGCGTTAGTATTAACATCTAATTGCCGCAATGCGCGCATGTATAACTCGAAAGTAGAGCGTTGTTGTTACTGCTGCCGCACGCAATTAATATCTTTTGATCTGCATGCGAAAAAGCGAGCTATTACTCCCGTAATAGCCTCGCTGCCCCGAAACTTATACAATTTTATTTTTTTTTTTAAGTATCGGGCCACCCACGCTCGTTTCTCCGGCGAGAAACGATAATCCGGTCGGTCGTTTACATCCTGTAAATTTATAAGGTAATAATACCGTGATGCGTGCAACGCCCGTTTTTCATGCTTAACGTAACGAAGAGAAAAGTAAGAGGAAAAGTAGCATCATTTTCTGAGCACACAATGTCGGACAGCGCATTCCTCAGCGTTACGTCAAAAGTAAACATACGAGGAAAGAATAATTTTAACCCATAAAAGAAGTTGTTTGTCGAGACAATGATTTAATATCATTAATTTATTCATAATAATATAAGATTAAAATTTTTTTCTCATTTTTTCAGCTGCAGATTATTCAGAAACATTTTTTATTAAACGTGATAAGCGTAAAGATCATTGATGAGGGAGAGTCGATAAAAATAAATGAATTGTTTGTCGAGAAAACGATTTATTATCATTAATTATTAATAGCGACATAAGATTAAAAATTTCTTTGTAATTTTTTAAGCTATAGATTACTCAGAAACATTTTTCAAGTGATAGAAACTCATATTGAGCAAAATTCAACTAATGTGTACCTATAAAATATTTTTGCAAGAAGAGTACATCCAAAAATTCTGCAGCAACATTAAACATCGTGATAAGCATAAAGATCATCGATCAGGGGAAGCCGATAAAAAGGCGGATAAAGAATATAGTAGGTAGGGGACGATCTCTGATCGCTTCCGGCGAACAGTTCTTCAGGGTAGTGGGTCTCTGTGGCTGATCTCCCGGACCCGGTTCCAGCGAATATAGGTCAGTGTACAAGCGGGCAGGAGCAAAACGGCTGGATTTTTGCCCGTGAGCGTGTCTCGATCCTGGACTGAGTCTGGTTCAGTGTCGGGGATTCTGTGCTAACGGCCAAACGGGTTTGCACGAGTGTTCCCTTCCTCCTTTCCGACTCTCTCTTTTTCTCTCTTTCTCTTCGTTTTCTTCTGCCCATACCCAGAAGAGATTCCGACCGTGTCTCTCTCGGGGCCCAGGATCACCAGCGAAATTATTGTTAATAGGCTCCACCGCGAGTGTGTATCAACATGGCCAGCCTCGAGGAATCCATCTAATGTGTTGTATCTTAATGCCTCTGGTAATTAAATACTTATTGCTCTCACGATCGCGACCCGTGTCGTATCTTGTTTCGAAAACGGTAGGACTGTCTCGCGAGCAGAAGATCGAATAACGAGTCAGACGAATCGAGGAGACCTGACTGTGAATTTAGCGCTACAAATTTTATCGCCGTTCTTTCCACGTGTTTCTTTTCTACACGATAGTCTCTTTTATTAATTCAAACTTATTAGTTTCTATTAGTTATTAGACATCTGAGTCTGCAATGAAATCTATGCATTGCAAAAAGAAAGGGAATAATAATAATAATAATGATAATTTGAAGTTTCTGATCATGAGAGACGCGTATTGTGA